GATAAAAAAAAATGGCGGATAAGATATTCGGAAATACTCGGAATACTTGCATGATAGGCTAAACATCACCAATTCCATCGAATGTAGGTTGCTCCTAATTTCATGTTACAATTGTTTAAATATATGAGAGTAATAACGAAAACACAAGAAAAGATCTATTTCAGATACTTCAGGTAGAGATTTATGAAATATAATTATGATTGGTGTCGAGCTATATCGAGTCAAAATTCACTTTCGAAACGACCAGGACAAATCTCCGATCCCCAACATCAACCATATAATCGAAAAATCCTTTTTAGACTAGTTTTTCCATGTTTATATTATTTAAATAGTACCCGACAACAAAGTTTCAACGTGTAATTTAGGTTTGGCGCATCACCGCCTGAATTTAAAGTAGATATTGCCCCGCGTAAGAAAAGTTATAACCTTAAATAAAAACTTTTTTCACAAATCCTAAAATTAATTTCCACCAAACAATTTCTTTCTCATTATAATATATACTTCAGCCAACAATTAACATAAAATACAATTAGGGTATAGAACTCGACACTTTGCGAACTTTTGAGTAGCGTCGTGTAAAATGTTGACGTATTTCAGATTAGATTCCGTTGATTTTTTTTTAAATAGTTTCAGCCAATTTTTGTACACGACGTCAAAGTTGATCAAAACGTATCCTTGACACAACTGTTACGGGTACTACCACGCCACCGGCAAACACATTATCTAAAATGTATTCTGTATTCGACGGAAATTGTGTGGTTGTTTTTTTCTCTTTATTTTGTGTTAAAATTCCGCTAAAATGACATTATGACCGCTTCAGATACACGAAAGTGTACGGAATTCTACAAAAATTATTATAAATAGGTCTGAAATTTAAAATACGGAGGTATACAGGCCGTATATCATGCAATACGTACATGACTAATATTCCGTTATTCGTACATTCGAAATATACGACAACTTTGTTGTACGAAGTCCTTACTTTACTTAAATACGGATCTTTTTATAAAAAGTCCGTAAATTCCTAAAATAAGAAATTTCGTATTCTTGCAAATACGTTTTCTGCCAAGATGTAATCCTGAATTACGAATTTCTTTTAAAGGAAAGAAATAGTCTGATCTGACATTTATCAGAAAATATAAAATAGTAAAGCTTTACATAAATGTAATATTTTCCGGTTTTATTAACATATCAATTGCATACTGATTATATGGTCAGTGAACAGAACAAATCAACATCAAAAGATCCTCAAAAGTATCAGTAGCATGTACAGACAAAAAAACTACTTATATTTCCCAAATTTTCCCCAAATGGAACTGTCTTGCAGTGAAATAAACTAAGTAAACTTGATATTTAAAGAACATGTGTCAAATGTCTATCTTTAAAGATTTTGTTTATTCATTATCTACAATATCATCAGAATGTTTTCACATTGAGGCATATAAATGTTAAAAAAACAAATCTGACAAAAGTTAAAAAGATGAATACTAACAGAAATTCATTTGCAGTGTGATATAATATAACGTAACGTAAACGTACACGCCAGTGTCAATTGTTCAACAAAAATTGAACGTTGAAAACATGACAGTTTTAAAAAGATTGGTTGCAATAAGTTGATTCTTAAAAACAGTTCAATCAAATTGAAATTCTTGTTTTGAAAATTTTGAATTTCGATCTTCGAGCTGGCTTGAAATTCAATTCTAGCTCGAGATTCGGCTTTTGAACATTTTGAATTTCGATATTCGAGCTGGCTCGAAATTTAACTCCAGCTCGAAATTCGGGTTATGAATATTTTGAATTTCGATCTTCGAGCCGGCTCGAAATTCAACTCCAGCTCCAATTTCGGGTTTTGAATATTTTGAATAGTGATTTCGAGCTGGCTCGAAATTCAACTCCAACTCGAAATTTGGCTTTTGAAAATTTTGAATTTCGATCTTCGAGCTGGATCGAAATTCAACTCCAGCTCGAAATTCGGGTTTTGAAAATTTTGAATTTCGATCTTCGAGCTGGCTCAAAATTCAACTCCAGCTCGAAATTCGGGTTCTGAAAATTTTGAATTACGATCTTCGAGCTGGCTCCACAATTCAAATCAAGCTCGAAATTCGGGATTTGAAAATTTTGAATTTCGATCTTCGAGCTAGCTCCAAAATTCAAATTCAGCTCGAAATTCGGGATTTGAAATCTTCGAGCTGGCACGAAATTCAACTAAGCTCGAAATTCGGGTTTTGAAAATTTTGAAATTTCGGTCTTCGAGCTGGCTCGAAATTCAAATTCAGCTCGAAATTCGGGATTTGAAAAATTTGAATTTCGATCTTCGAGCTGGCTCGAAATTCAACTCCAGCTCGAAATTCGGGTTTTGAAAATTTTGAATTTCGATCTTCGAGCTGGCTCAAACTTCCACTCCAGCTCGAAATTCGGGTTCTTAAAATTTCGAATTTCGATATTCGAGCTGGCACGAAATTTAACTCCAGCTCGAAATCCAAGTTGTGAATATTTTGATCTTTGAGTCGGCTCGAAATTCAACTCCAGCTCCAATTTCGGGTTTTAAAAATTTTGAATATTGATCTTCAAGCTGGCTCGAAATTCAACTCCAGCTCGAAATTCGGGTTTTGAAAATTTTGAATTTCGATCTTTAAGCTGGCTCAAAATTCAACTCAACTCAAGCTTGAAAGTCGGCTTTAAAAGTTTCGAGCTGGCACGAAATTCAACTCAAGCTCGAAATTCGGGATTTGAAAAATTTGAATTTCGATCTTCGAGTTGGCTCGAAATTCAACTCCAGCTCGAAATTCGGGTTTTGAAAATTTTGAATTTCGATCTTCGAGCTGGCTCAAACTTCCACTCCAGCTCGAAATTCGGGTTCTTAAAATTTCGAATTTCGATATTCGAGCTGGCACGAAATTTAACTCCAGCTCGAAATCCAAGTTGTGAATATTTTGATCTTTGAGTCGGCTCGAAATTCAACTCCAGCTCCAATTTCGGGTTTTAAAAATTTTGAATATTGATCTTCAAGCTGGCTCGAAATTCAACTCCAGCTCGAAATACGGGTTTTGAAAATTTTGAACTTCGATCTTCGAACTGGCTCAAAATTCAACTCAACTCAAGCTTGAAAGTCGGCTTTCAAAGTTTCGAGCTGGCACGAAATGCAACTCAAGCTCGAAATTCGGGTTTTGAAAATTTTTGAATTTCGATCTTCGAGCTGGCTCGAAAATCAAATTCAGCTCGAAATTCGGGATTTGAAAATTTTGTATTTCGATCTTCGAGCTTGATCAAAATTCAACTCCAGCTCGAAATACGGGTTTTGAAAATTTTGAACTTCGATCTTCGAACTGGCTCAAAATTCAACTCCATCTCGAAATTCGGGTTCTGAAAATTTCGAATTTCGATCTTCGAGCTGGCTCGAAATTCAACTCAAGCTCGAAACTCGGGATTTGAAAATTTTGAATTTCGATCTTCGAGCTAGCTCTAAAATTCATTTCCAGCTCGAAATTCGGGATTTGAATAATTATTTTGAATTTCGATCTTCGAGCTGGCTCGAAATTCAACTCCAGCTTGAAAATCCGCTTTAAAATCTTCGGGCTGGCACGAAATTCAACTCCAGTTCGAAATTCGGGTTTTGAAAATTTTGAATTTCGATCTTCGAGCTGGCTCGAAATTCAAATTCAGCTCGAAATTCGGGATTTGAAAATTTTGAATTTCGATATTTGAGCTGGCTCGAAATTCAACTCCAGCTCGAAATTCAGCTCTGGTTGACTTTGAATTTCGATCTTCGATCTAGCTCGAAGTTCAAAGCTAGCTCGATATTCAGTATTAACTGAATTTCGATCTTCGATGTCAGTGCTTAATTCTCGATACTCAAAGAAGGTGGAGATTTCGACCCCATCGCTCAATATTACAATTATTTTCAAATTAATTTTGGGTAGCTGTGTGAAAAAAATGACTGCCATAAACTCATTACTTATAAATGACACGTTAACAGGCTGGTGAAGTATGGGCATCCTTGTACTATAGCACATGTCTAGTTAATAAGGGAAATTCATATAAATATTGTAATCCGATTGGTTAATCTCGTGGCAACTAATGAGCAATCTCGTGGCCACGACTTAAGAACTCGTTGCCACGACATAGTATCTCGTTCCCACGACGTAACTATCTCGTGTCAACCACTTAGTTACTCGTGGCCACGACTTAGCTATCTCGTGGCCACGACTTAGTAACTCGTGGCCAAGACATAGTATCTCGTGGCCACGACATAGTATCTCATGGCCACGACATAGTTTCTCGTGGCCACGACTTAGCTATCTCGTGGCCACGACTTAGTAACTCGTGGCCAAGACATAGTATCTCGTGGACACGACATAGTATCTCGTGACCACGACATAGTATCTCGTGGCTTCGACTAAGCAACTCATGGCCACGACATAGTATGTCGTGGCCACGAGATAAATAAAAACACACACACACATGTCACCTTTGTGCCACCGTACTTATCTTTATGACCTTTAAGAATTAAGTTCACCTGCAAAAGATCATGACTTGGAAGCAAAATGAAATTATTTATACCGATTCAATATATTAATGATCGTAATAATATCTTTTGATGAATTTATCTAATGACCAGTCTTCCTGCCTACCCTTGTGATATTTTTCGGTGCTATATTATATATTAGACCTAAAATAAACAGAAAAAAAAGCAATACGCTTACCGGATTGATAAATGTTACATACGTCTTCAATATCAGAGTCGAATATCATTTATCTTTAAGTAACGTAAAAAGTATTGAATTAAATTAAAATTTTGGAACAGATTCTTGCGTGGTAAGAAAGGGAATCCGATAATTAAAAATCATTCTGTCCCAGAATGTCCTGTTAATTAAAAAGGAATAATGCTAAAATGTGCAAAATCACAAAACTTTATCAACAACCTCTGTCGTCTTATTTCTGGCCAAAATGACACAACATTTTTGTCTAATTCACAGAATATTCAAGAAAAGATACATTACCAATATCTGCGTATGTCTTTCTATAAGAATTTTCAATAGCTTCAATCGTTAAGCTGCCAAATTGTAAACTTTTGGCATTCAAAGTAAAGTCCTCTATTTTCTGCAAGCTAGTTGTTCTATCGGGAAATGGTTCGACATCAAGGTGCGCACCCATTGTAGCTCTTGCTAGAAAGATGGAAACATATTCCTACATATAGTTTCACTATCGAACAATTCTTTACTATAACTCTAAATAACTACTAAGCAATTGTTTGGCTTTTTTTCAATCTTAAGCAATTAAACAGAATTTTAACCGGATCATATGTATAGGCACCTGGATTATGAAGAAATGCACGTATGAGAAAAGATGAGCGTTGCATGTTATTTTCAATACACCGTCATATGTCATGTATTCTTTACTCATAGACTGTGTGGTGGATTTTATTGAGCATCAACATTACTTTCGAGTAAGCGTGGTAAATTTTGTTTAATCTTACTTTAGGAACAGTGTGGTGGATTTTGTTCAACCTTGCCTTTGAGACACTGTGGTGGATTTTGTTGAACATTACTTTAGAGATAATGTGGTGGATTTTGATGAAATCTTGCTCTTTAGACAGACTGGTGGATTTTGTTGAACCTAATTTTTCAGAAAGTTTGGCGGATTTTGTTTAACCTTACCCTTGACATAGTGTGGTGGATTAATCTGTACATTTTGTATAGTGAAGTAAAAACCTACCTTTGCGATAGTATGGTGGATGTTGTGGAAACCTTACTTTAAAGGTACATCATACCTCAGAAACGAAATTTTTCCCTTTTTTAGAATGGACAAAAATAGGTGTATTATGTTTATATAACCATTTAAATGCTCAGTCAGTGTTTATTACTTGAAGGAACAGGCACTGAATGTGAAAAATTATGGCAAAAAGTAGCAAAATGTAAACAAAAAAGTATTTTGACTCAGTCTATACAAAATACTTATTCACTTTATCTTTAATACTTGTACAAAAGTAACATGAGCAAAGGATGGTTCAGGTCATAGGCAAGTGAGTTTTATTTAGATAATATAAAATGACACCAAATATTAATGAGTTATTGAGAAATAAAAATAAAAGCATTTCTGGGGCATTATGGGCCTTTACGATCAAGTGCTGGATTTGTGGAAACCTTACCTTTGAGATATTGTGGTGGATTTTTTCAACCTTACCTTTTTCGGAAAAGTATAATTTAAGGGCTGATTTGCAGGAAATATCTGTAAAACTTGCAACGGAATTGAGCACAGTTTCTGCTGCATCGTCCAATCCGTAGAAATCAAGGACATTGATATCACCATAAATACCCAGGTATACTGAAAAGAATTATTTTCAAAAAACTGCAAATTTTAATGTTTATATTGACAAAAATGAATTCAAGGAAATGCACAATTTGTTTACATTTTGATAAATATAATTTCATCTTTTTAATGATACATTACAAACTTCCTCATTTTTACTTACTTTTTGTTAAGAAGTTTCAAATAAATGCCAAACGTTTCTGTGTATGACAGAAATTTTAGGTAGTTTGATTAAGGTTTGATCACAGAATACATGTAACTTGCTCATTTTTAGTGTAAAATTACGCCAGCAGCTTGTGTCGTCGCTTTAAGGTAAGATGCTTTTGCTTCTCAAAAAAGTGAAGCGACTATTGTTATTACTTATAAAGATTTTGACAGGTTATGTGGCCCTATATAAACATTTGTTTGCATATATAAGCGGAGCTGCTAGGCTTTTTCAAGAAATGGTAAAACAATAACTATAAATAAATAATTGTATGCATGCGTACATTGTACAGTCTTATAAAAAAACTCATCACATCTACCAATCCCAACACATTTCACACCCGTCTTGTCTTTGCAGACCTCCTGTTTTAATGAAAAAGAATAGTTAATACTTTAAATGTTTGATACGGCACTTTTCAATATAAGATACATTTATCTTTTTTTCTTTAACCATATAAATTATTATATAAAAAACATATCGGTGATATCAAGGTATCCTTGCAAACTTATTGTAGCAAAGTCGTTATTCGATCTCATTCATTAATACACTTGTTACTATATATAGTAACAAAATTGCCTATGATTTCAACTGATTATGAGTGTCACGTGACCTATTATGAGTTTGCGGACCGGGGCCGAGAACTAGTTATCAGCCCGCAGAACATGTGCACGTGCACAAATTGAAACAATGACGTCATATTTTACGTCATCAAACAGTTAACTGTGAAAGTGAAAGTAGGTTGTCAGCACGAATCGCTTTATTTTTATTGTGAGAGCTTAAGCGTATTTAGTACAAACACATATTTGTTACTATTGAAATTTGAAGAAATAATACGACAAATTCATTCCGAAAAAAAAAATGAAAATAAAACTTGCTTCTAGATTCTACTGCTTTGAACACACAAACAGTAAACATCTCTGTACAGAACAGTAGAAGAGTTCTGTACTGTACAGTAGACAAGAATTTCAACGAAATAACTTCAAAGTAGATCCTATTTGTTGTTGTTGTTGTTTTTTGTTTTTTGTTGTTTTTTTAAATGCTACCAGATCTATTAGATTTACCAAGTGTATTAAAGACATTAATACACGTCAGAGTAGGGCCAGAAGGTGATAATCGGCCCTGAATGAATAATGGCCCTCGGGCTAAAGCCCTCGGGTCCATTATTCATTTTGCGGGCCGATTATCACCTTCCGGCCCTCTCCTGCCGTGTATTAATCTCTTATTAATTCTACATTTCATTTGTACTGTTTATAGTCATCTTATATAAAATAGTTTTATTTACTTTTTATTATTTGTTCTCAACCCAACAACACCATCAGTAACATTAGATTCTCAATCAACACCTCGTTGATATATACTACCTCCCCTCCCCCATACCAAAAGAAAAAAAAGGAAAAAACAAAACGAAGGTTTTAAAAGTCTAAACAAATTGTCATTTATAGAAACCATTTAACACAGTTTGAAAAGCATGAGAAAAATATGTACATCACTTATTAACGAAGAATATAACTTTGTGAATGATGATGATGATGATGAAGATGATAGTGATGATTATGTTTATCACGATGATATTGAGAAAGACAATATTACATGGTAGTCAATGGTGTAAACTTTTGTTGTTGTCTTTATATTAATACCCTATGTCTTTAAAAGAAAAACACTTTTGAATATATGATTTGGAATATTTAATGACAAGATGTTGACTTTTACGAATCATATCTTAGAATGATTTATTATCATGAGAAATGTTTTTGTCACTTTTCTTTTTAAAATGCCGCATCTCATCGGAAAGTGTGATTGTTTTCAATCAAAATTAACGTAAAGCTTGCACAGGGCCAGACATTTGTTTAGCAGGCTCCATTAGATCTTGACTATGAATCGAAAACATTTATTTCCTCGAACACAGTTGGGATATGTTAAAAACAGGTAATACTAAACGTCCGCCAATTATGTTTTAAAACCGACATGTATACATACTCGTACTTGTATGGCTGTCGACTCGTTGAACGGTTGTCTACCCATTTGATTAACGGTAAAATTATTTTATTTATGTTAAACGGTACATCTGTAACAAACGAATTGTCAAAGATTTTAAAAGGACTGTCAGCATAAAAGGTTGAAGATGTATTTATTTAGTGGTTCAGTTTAGCTGATTTTATCGTTTGTCTTACTTCATTTTAGAATCCTTGCCGAAAATTAAATAACCATTTGCATTTCAGTAACTTTATATCTTGAGTTCCTACTGGCGTCATAAAACAGTATCATCGCTTGGTAAAATATTTAGTTGTTTTTTATTGAGGGGACACCGTGGTTTAAAAAAATTGGACCAAACAGATCAGACGTATTTTATTTAAGAAATAATATATCCCAAACTGTGATTTTATCGCTCAATAACATCACTGTTTTGAGTTCGGATGCGAGGAATTATATCACGAGGGCGTAGCCCGAGTGATATAATGATGCACATCCGAACGACAAACAGTGATGTTATCCAGCGATAAAATCACCGATTTGGATATATTATTTCGATTCTAACACGACATAAACAAATAAATGCTGCCGTACCTGCTATTATGCGATATTGCGCCTGATTTGTTTCCGTAGTTATTGTCAGCGCATCGGATTTTATAGTGGTTACGTCACATGTATAATGATTACGTCACATGTCTAAATATAGAACGTCAAACAGTGACTCTATTTAAGAAATAATATATCCCAAACAGTGATTTTATCGCTCAATAACATCACTGTTTGGAGTTCGGATGCGAGGAATTATATCACGAGGGCGTAGCCCGAGTGATATAATGATGCGCATCCGAACGACAAACAGTGATGTTATCAAGCGATAAAATCACTGATTTGGATATATTATTTCGATTCTAACACGACATTAACAAATAAATGTTGCGGTACTTGATAGTTAAGCAAAATTGCGCCTGATTTGTTTCCGAACTTATTTTCAGCGCGTCGGATTTTTAGTGGTTACGTCACGTGTATAATGATTACGTCACATGTCTAAATATAGAACGTCAAACTGTGCATCTGTTGCATAATAACACACACTTTCTGTTCTTCTATGTTCAATAGGGAAAAATGCGGGTCGTGTTAGAATGCATAATAACACACACTTTCGGTTCTTCTATGTTCAATAGGGAAAAATGCGGGTCGTGTTAGAATTTACAATATGATTTAAACAGTTACTACGAGCTACGTCGAGCTATAGGTTCCAGTCTAATAATTATGTTCATACACACATATACATGTAAATGGCTTGCTTTATGATTTTTAATAATATAAATTGTGTCTATATTATAAAATTTACCTGATGTTCCGAGCATTTGTTTTTGTCATTATTTTCTGTCAATGTAAAACGCTCCTCCTGACCTAAAATTAGACAGTTAAAACTATTTACAATAAATTTCAGAATCTACCAAATATAATAAGGTCATGTCACAGTGGATATCCAATCATCTGCTGATACCCTGTGCTTTCCACGACGTGCACGATCCTAGGGGAAGAGAAGACTGGATCTTGTTTTTGACATGATCTCATTTTATTAGGAATATACCTCACAATGAAAATAATAAAGCATTCTAATATGTCGTTACGAGCATATTGATCGATAAAAATCTCTGCAATACCCCTGAGCAGAAGGTTAACAATCGTGTGTCAGCATTTAAATATTTTAACAAGGGTGTACACTACAGCAATAAATGCATGAAACTAAAACAAAAAAACTTCAGCCCAGCACGAAAACATATCTGAATCTCAGGTCTGAATCCGTCACTGGCATAATTTATAAACATGTATCATTTTTCATCACAATACATTTGTAGATCTGGATTGGAAAAACAAAAAAATAACAAAACAAAAAAACAACAACATAAAACATATGTGTTATCCCTGTCTAACTTATTTTAATGAAACAAATATACATATACATGTGCATGACTTTCTTAAAACTAATTAGTTGTTTAACAATGATGTTTTCCTTTAAAACCTTTCCAGTTGTTTCAGTATCAGAAAATGTCTCGAAATATGAATAAATAGCTTTATCAAAAAAAAACCCTACAAACCTGACCATGTGTCCCATTCTATCCAAAACGATTTATCAACCGGATAAACATTGGTGCCATGTAACTGTATAGATTGGCAGGTGGAGCATTCACTTGATAACTCGTGCACATGTTTACAGTTGCTGACACAGGGCGCATCAACGAATGACTTTATATCAGCAAGAAGAGCCATGATGTTATTTTTCATAATGGGCGGCAAGGAAAACTTAACATATACACTTTCTGTTGATTTTTAAATGAAACAGTGTTAGTGGAACAGTTTAAAAATAATCTTGTAACATTAAATGATTTCATAACCAACACTTTCTACGTGTCGCTATTGGTCGTAAGGCGGACTTGCGCGGATCATGGATTATTAGAAGTTAACGGGATTTAGGGCACTAACCGACCAATAAAAACCAACGTCATTCGTTTGGATAAATTAAGGATAAAATAAAAAGGATTTTTGGGCTAAAACAAATGCGGATCAACAAATGCCGAAAACACCTTTTCGTTTGGAGTCCGCCTATTGTGAACTAATATACAGTCTATAAACGTTAAAAAGGATTTTCAGACAACTTTAAAAATTAACCAAATGATTTTTAAACTGATCATTTAGCTAATAAAACAGTAATTGTAAATTAAGACTATGGACCTGTGATATTGACATCGGCAGTCATGTGCCGGAAATATTTAATTACATCTTGGAAACAATCTTAAAATTATTTCGAAAACTTTGAAATAATATAGAAAACATACAAAACAGTCATGTAACATCGGACTTAAAACATTCAAGTGCATGTATATTCTGGAAGCTTTCAAGGTTTTAATTTAATCGCTGTAGGACAACCTAAAAATTTTAAAAATTTCCATGTAAAAAAATAACGATAATAAGTGTTTCCCTGGTTGCTTAAATAGCACTTAATGCTACCTTGTTATGAAAATGAACGTTATGTTGAATAAATAATTTCTCATAAACAAAATCTCAAAAACAGTTTTTTTTTTGTGTGTGTTATAATTTGACAAAAGCATGCCTGTAAATGTACTGTAAATAACAATTTCTATACCCAATTTTGAAGTTGGTATAGTTGAGGAAACGATACCTTAAATAATACAGATCATTACGAAACGGTTTTCACGTAAGGCGGTCCGTAGCGGACTGGTTAAGGTCCTTGGCCTCAAACCACTAACCCGTCAACACCGTGGGTTCGTTCCTCATACGAGGAAGCTACTCTGGTGCCCATTGATGTCTGAAATACTCCGCGGAGGGGCCCTTCAAGTCTTTTTCCACCAATAAAGCTGGAAAATCGCCATATGACCTTTGTTTACTGCTGCTGCCACGTTAACATTTATAAAAAAAATACCTTTATTACATTTTTATCAAATTGACCGATTCGATATCTGCGTTCGTTCGCAATTAAAACAATCATGTATTCTGCTAAATGTTGGCGTTTCTATTTTTTCAAACTAGACAACCGTTCACTTCATAAAATGAGCAGGGACAGCAAAAATTGGTTTACCCTCTGCAGCCTCGGTTAATTCAAGATCGTATATATCCCTCGGGGCTACCAAAAATATCTCATGCAGAAACTCTGCTATCTGTTTTTTTCCCTCAAAAAGCCCTGTAAATTCCAAGAAGCTGTATTCTATGCCAATTTCAAAACCTGTTTTCACTTTAGTATCTGAAATATTTAAAAAAAATCCTGTTGCAAAATGTACGGTGGCACAAAGGTGACATGTGTGTGTTTTTATTTATCTCGTGGCCACGACACAGTATCTTTGGCCACGACCTAATAACTCGTGGCCACGACATTGTATCTCGTGGCCACGACTAAGATTTCTCGTGGCCACGACTTAGTAACTCGTGGCCACGACATAGTATCTCGTGGCCACGAGATAAATAAAACATACACATTTCACCTTTGTGCCACCGTAAGAATGTTAGTTGTGGTTATGGATTAAATAATCGTTATAATTATTTTTGATGTTGAAGTAATATATTGCTAGAGAATATGATGAGAGTCACGTGCTATGTACTGAAATATAAAAGTAAAATTTTTACATCGGGTGCCGGTATAGACCGGAATTTAGACTGTTTATTACAGCTGAGAGCCGGTTTTTTGTTTGCATATTACTCAACAATCATATTTTTTAAATAAATTAAGAAAACAGACATATTCATGTAGTTTATGCAATGGTCATCGCGCACTTGCAAAATGCTCCCACTTGGACTGGATTTTTTGTAAACATCCCGTCGACTCGAAGGTAAAATATGTTTTTTATTCTAAGAAATCGTTCGTTAGAATATCAAAAATAATGTAGCGCACTTAAGATTGGCTTTAGTACTTGATATGATTAAAAAAAACATTTTAAGTTTTACTGCCTATTTAAGTCCTGACAACGGGATAAGGTTTGTACTCCTAAATGCTATCATTCGGACTCCCAATCAAAATTTATCACGTTTTCAGGCTTAAAAAGGGTTAAACTTAAAACGTTTTTGATAATTATATCAAGTTCTAAACACAATCTTTGGTGCGCTGCATTATTTTTGATAATTTTAAAGAATTCTTAGAATAAAAAAGTACTTTAATGTTCGAGTCAACAAAAAATCAGTCCGATTGGGAGCATTTGGCTGGTGTGCGATGGCGTAGTATCCTACCATTGATATGAGTTTACAACTTCAGTGCTTGCAGAAACGGTGACGAACCGGTAAAGTGCACGGAGGAAATGTTAAAATAGTACCGATTTGGAAGACACCCCATTTAGCATGAAAGTTATTCACATAACCAAAATGCACTTCATTTTACTCGTTGTTATTTATTTTTTCTATTCGCCATGTTTTTGGCGGGTTACTTATATATAGAACTGAAATACTATATTATATGTACGGACCTCAAAACCAGTGTGTAGGCTCCTGCGGGATAAACAATATATGGAATATTTCTCTCTCTTTATTTCTCTCTAAACCTCTATTGTTCATGAATAAGTTTATTTCGCGAAAAAAAAGATATTTTTGAATCGTGTCAGATATTAAAGAGAAAACATATTTACAAAGTAAATACTGGTATTTATTTTTCTGTACATTTTAGAAGAAAAGTCAATATGTGTTTCATAAAAAGGGTATTCCTTTCCTATAGCTTATCTCAACAAGGCTCTTAATACAAAGAAAACTAGCATTATTTATTTATTTATTTATTTATTTATCTATTTATTATTTTATGTAATTTTAAATTTTCCATAATCATCTCAACAGGAAACACTTATCGTCATATTTAGAGAAAAGATATACATCAACTATTTTGAAGTTAATATTTTCAGATTACGGAGATTTGCCAAAGGTTCTTCAACGATGTCCAGATATTTTTAGAAAGTCATTTGTTAAATAAAAACAATAACATTACCTGATATGGTATAATTATATTAAAACATATATCGAAATATCTATGATTTCAAGATCTAATAAATCTATTAAATACATTTTATGATTTATGCATTGTTTACATACCATTCCATTTTCCAATGTTAATAACATCGACTGCAACTATTCGAACTAGAAACCCCAAGACAGGAATGTCTGTACAATCTAGATTACTAGAACCACATGTCCGAAGAACTTCAACTTTTTTCTCGATATCGTGAATTTCAGGTTGCAATACAAACGATAAATCGTGAATGCCTGGATTGATATGCTGATCTATGTAAATAAAGACAGTAAACTTACATTTAGAATCCAATTTTTTTGTATACTGATTTATTTATTTATTTAAGTATAAAGAAAGGACAACTTGCTTTGCAAGTTGCCACTTAACAATTGCAAATGGTCACACGTCTTGTTCTAACAGATCTCTTGGTGACGCGTGATTTGGCGTCTCGTACGTATGTTAATTGTCACTGGACGCACTTAGTTGGGATTTTGCATAAGCTTAATCTTGCCAAAGGAAGTATAAACATGATTGTATGCAAACAAAAATAAATAAGCCAACATATGATTACATGCTATTATCTGTCAATCATATGATTTTGAAAAACACACATTTTACCATCAGATTTAGCAAAAGCGTTCTTCAAAGTTTGTTGTATGAACTACAAAATGCCAATTGAAACAGGCGGATTTTTTAATCTGGATAGAAGTCTAACAGTTTGTTGTTTATGTTCTGATAATCTGTTAGGTGATGATTTTCATTTATTTAGTTGTTCCTATTTCCAAGGTCTGAGAACACAATTCGTAATTTCATAGACCTAACATTGTAAAATTTTCAAAGTTAATGGATAGTGAAGCAAAAATGTCTTACTCAATCTAGCAATCTTCTGTAAGAAAATTATTTTTGATCTTAATAACACATAATGAACTCCAATTTTAAATTGTTTAATTCTTTTTATTATTTATTTTTTGTTTCCTTATATACATATAGCATAGCCATGGTTTTTCATTTTACTATATGTCAATTTACTTTGTTTATTCTTTTGTTACATTGTTGTTTTCTCATATGACCAATTGAGCCTGGAGATATTAATAAGATCTTAAAAACTTGAACTCGTATCACTTATAGTCTACCAATGTCGTTACTTTTTTGACAACGCACAAAGTCTGGTGACACACGACGCCTACCGTACATTAAATTATTTTTTTTTTGTTTGCTTGGTATTGACATTTTGTCGCCACAGTAAAATGTTAACCGTGAAAAATGGCCGTTTTCGTTGAAAAGCCTCCTGTTACAAGTTCGAAATGCTATGAAAAGCTGTAAAAAATGCTTCAATACTGATGAAACTTGGCACAAATGTAGATTGATCCATAGCCTCTGTAATAGCATGCTCAATCGTAAATTTCCTGTTACCATGGCAACGGGGGGGAAAGTCTCATAATTGCGAAAAATTACTATTTTGCCATGTTTTTTCCATCAAAACTGATTTCAATTGCTGCAACTTCTCAATGAATTGAGATAGAGTAAAAGGCTTTTCAGTGCCGGTTACTAGTTAACCTAAGATCGACTGAGGACATTTCATTGTTAGCCTGTAACATGTCCAAAAATTGGAACTACCAAACAAACCCCCAAACAGATAGGGGCACATCACCCTTCGGGCAACCCCCTAATGTACCATTTTGATGGGGGCGGCGCCGAAAAGCGACCATTTTTTAACAACATTTCTCAAACGACAGTGTTTGGGCCTTAAATACGGCATTTCTTCACTGTTTGGGGTCTCAAAAATGTGGGAAGCGGTCAAAACACGTCTATATGAGGTAAAAGGTTAAATGTTTGGAACTGAGATGCTTAAGATGATTAAACATTAAGATTGTCAACTTGTCAGAAAATTGGTTTTGTAAACATTATGCCCTAGATGTCGGTTTATAGAGAATAAGTTTAATACTGAATTTATTGAACGAGTTGAATAAAATTATATTATGCGAGCTTCTGGCGGACATAATATTATTTTTTTAACGCGTTCAATAAATACAGTAATGAACCTACATGAATTTAATATTATATGTATCACATACCCAAAATAAAGATCCTTTTAAGTGAAAAACAGTCATTTTTCGTAGACGCGCCTGTAGTGTAACGCTAACATTTAGCGCGTTGTAACATCGCACTTTGGGGTCAAACGCACTTTGGGGTCAAACGCACTTAAAGAATGCTACATTTGGGTTCCAGATGTCTAAAGGTGTAATATGAGTTCTGCTTAAATACTGAGAACTGACTTATTTTCGATCTGCGATATTGAAATATTTGAGGTGGAGTTCAAGAAGGCGGTCAATACTTTGATGATGGTTAAGTGATAAAAAATTCATTAAGTTTACCACTTGAAATATAACAAAATTACGGTGGCATAAAAGTGACATTTGTATTTTTTAATTTAAGTTTTGCATACATAATTTTACTTAAGTTTTGGATACATATTTTATTTCAGTTTTGCATTCATATTTTTTTTTTTTGAGTTTTGCATTTATATTTTATTGTAGTTTTTGGCCAAAAAACAGCCTTCACATCTCATAACAGTCCATAGTTGAGAATAAAACTAGCACAGTGGTTTAGTCACTTTTCGGTCCATTTTTGGAATCGGTTCAGTCATTTTTGGCCATGCAAGTCTGGTTTCGCCCGACCTTTTTCGGCCCATTTTTTAAATCAAATGTATTTTATATAATTATTATTTTTTTTTAATTAATATAGCTATTATAGACATCAAAACACGATTCCTTTTTAACCTGCACCCCCCCCCCCCCTGGACAAGGGAGGTGGTTACAAATGACTGGTGTATTACAATAATGCACAATAAAAGATCTAAATAAGTCGTTATATTTCACTGATTTAGAAAAAATATAATTATATACATGAAAAATATGGTTTTGACTACACTATATTACTTAAAATATAATGAACATAAATTTTCTCTGACCCCAAAGTGCGGTCGTTTTCCTGATGATAAAAAATGCATATGTACCTGTTTAACGCATTTTGGGTCGAAATTAATTTAATAATTTACTTCCATTAAACCATAAATAATGCACAGATTCAAATAAAATTTCAGTAAATATCCAGTAGCATTTACCTATAACGCTCAGTTTATAAAAAGAGTGGGGCAGTCTTTTTATATTTTACGCAGATTTATAATTTTATCCTGAATGTTTTCCAATATCAACTGCTGGTCAAACACCATTTTAACAGTCAATCATTTGAAATATAGTCAATTCAATTCAACTTGAGTATGAAATGTGAGCATAATGTCGCTTTAAGTACATGTACATGTAGGTTGGATTATTTTCTTGTATCAAGTGACTTAGTCAATTTTGTTACAATGATAGGTATCAAAACTACCTTTAGATCAGATCATTCAATTGCATATTTCGATATCAATTTTAATCCAGTTGAAAGAGGCCCAAGTTTTTTTAATTAAACAATTACATTCTACACTTTGACGAGAGAAAAAAACATTTCATTACTTATAAAAAGTTTAAATGTAATTTAATTAAATTTAATTTAATTAAAAATTTAAATTAACAGAAAAAATATTATGAGAATATCATTCAAGAAGATACTCTCTCAAATTACAATTTTATTAATGACGAAACATCAAAGGTAATTGAAAACATAAAACAATCTTGTGAAGGGATTACCTCTCAATCTTAATGCTAAACTGCCATTAAAGATATGAAAAAACGGAATAAAGTACAACCCCAGATGGTTTGAGCGTTGTAACACTGCACTTTGGGGTCAAACGCACTTTGGGGTCCAACCCCAAAGTGCGTTACGTACTTTGGGGTCCGACCCCAGAGTGCGTTACGCACTTTGGGGTCCAATTTCGACCCCAAAGTGCGTTAAACATGTTCATATGCATTTCTTAACATCAGGCAAACGACCGCACTTAGGGATCAGAGAAAATTTATGTTCATTTTGTTTTAAATAATAAAGTGTAGTCAAAGCCAGTGGTAAACAAAAATCAAGGTATTAAATAGATACAAAACATATGCCCTGAATCAATAGGGATTTAAATGGTCTTGATAAGTACAGAACAGAACTTTTATTTTCCAGACTTATACAAAGTACATCGTCTTGTTTAATTGCAGTGAATATATATATACAAATAATCACATGAATATATATGTATGGCGAGTGATTATAATAAATATAAACATTATAATTACAAGCACCAAATTCATAAGAGGATAAACTACAATTGAGAGTTTAAAATTGAATTTCTTAGTTTTAAAGCTTCTTTAATATATTTGCAAAGATTTATATATATATTTTTTATTATTAACACACAATAATTCATTAAATTTAAACATAGATGGTCTGTTATAATAGTAACTTTTTAGATATTTTTTACGTAAATCTACAAATCTTGAACATGCACATATGAAATGATACTCATCCTCTACATTTCAAACATTACAGCACTGACAATATATTTGTTCATGAGGAATGTTATTACTGGCATACCTTCCTGTTTGTATTTTGAGAGGATGAACAGATAGTCTTAATCGACAAAAATACATTCTAAATTTACGTAGTAAAATGTCAAGATAATTTTCGTAACAAAGACACGATTTAAAATGTTTGTAATTACATAAAACAGAACTTCGATGTAGGATACTGGGCCATTCTTGTTTATACGTATCAATAACTCTACTTTTGAAATTTTGAAGAAACAATTTAGGATCTATAAAATTATCACTATCAAAAATATCAGCAAAATCATAATCACATAACAACTTCTTCACATTTAAGACCCAATTTTTACACCCTCTTTTACAATCAATTACACCTTCTTTATAAACTGTATTTAACATGATATATTCCGAGTTTTTCAACTTGCACCAACATTTAATTATTCTAACATAACGGGACACATATAATGGATATCTTTCTAATTCACCATTAACAGCAGCGGAACAAGTATTAAGTCTCACATTTAATAATCGTTTGCAAAATTTTAAATGTCATTGAATTCTTTCTTTTTCCTTAGATTTTGTGTACCCCCATAATTCAGATTCATATCCTAAGATAGAGCCTACAAATGCATCAAATAACTTGCATAATATTTTTGGTTTTAAATCAAATTTCTTATAGTTATTAAATAAAACATTTAGAGCCTTTAATGCTTTCCATATTAAATGTTCCTGATTAAGTCTGAAATTACCAGTATAGTTAAAAACAGTACCCAGGTAGTTAAAATCATTTACAATATCTATGATTA